CACGGGGCTTTAGTCAGAGCTCTCTGGGGCTTAATTTGCTCAGCAGTTACTGTGGTTCTTCAGAGTTAGTGTTCCCAAACCCTGTAGAAAAAGACCACCATGTCCTCTTGGGCAACATATGCACAGCTCTAGGTAACCCTGAAAATGCATGGGCTCAGACCTGTTGCTAGCTCTACATTGGGCATATCTGGAAACCTGATTCCTTCTTGCTTTGAAGGCGTAGTGTTAGGTGTGAGAGGCCCCACACTTTGCCTTACATCCTGTTTTGTATGAGTATAAAACTTGGTTTGCCAAGTCCATCTCAAATTCTCCAAAAAAATAGAATAAGTAGAACTTTTTGAGTAATTTTTATGCTGCTGGGGCGAGTTCCTCAATCAGGACTGATGTCATGTGAAACACTTTAATCAGTCTACCATACATAGGATAGACAAATAAACATCTTTTCTTGTCCGAAAGTTGCTTGCAGCTGAGAGAGAGACTGTAGGAAGAGTTGGGCTGGAATTGTTAGTATTCTGGGATGTGTCGAGATGCTTAGTCTGGGTCATCCGTTGTCTGTGAATGTGACATGGGAAGGCAATGCTGCAGCAAGGGCAGGCAACGTATATAGTGCTTGGTCCCCAAAACCAAGGAGGCTTTTGGCCTAAGGGAAGATGAGCCCCAGCGCTGCAGGCAGCACAGCAGGGAGTGCTCTTTGCTGCTGTGTCTCCAAGTGAAACCCGAAGTGTGTCTGGATGTGGTGTTGGCAGGTCGCCCTGCCTAATGGCAATGTGAGCCTTGCTACCAGCTGGGATGTCACTGCCTTCCTTAAACACAAGCTCTGGCACGCTGAGGAGATATCCCAGGGTGGGAAAGGTCTGCTCAAGGTGTTTGTGAATGTGTGAAAAGGAGAAGAGAGGTGCTACAGGGGAGAAAAATGCTCTCCTGGTGTGTGAAGAATAGAAGGCGGACAGTTGTCATTTACTGACTAACCCATTTTGCTGGACCTGATTAGGAATGGTGTTTACAAATTGCTTTCAGGTTAACCCTGGCTGGCAGTGATGCCAGGCAGTGTTCCAGCTGTAGGCGGGGTTTCGCTCTTCCTACTGAGAATAGTTTTAATCTAAATAAAAGAGAAATTAGATCATGTAGCTCTTCTACAGCAAAGCATGCTCCAGGGGCCTTTCCTTGAGATGATTTGTTAGCTGGTGAGGTTGACTAACATGAGGAATGTGCTGATTCTCCAAAACAAGGAAAGCTGATGTAACAGCATTACACATCTTGCAGGCTTGGCATGGATCTCCCAGTCAGAGTCAGAGTTTAAAAAAAATCTGCTGTGTTGCTGACATTGTCTGCATGCTCAGAAGCAGGCACTGCTTCTTGGGTTTGAAATAATAATAATAAAACACCATTTGATTGTTTTCACAATCAGATGCGAAAGCTTACTCCCAGCTGGAATAATTTCAGGTTAGCAGGTGCTCTTCAGAGCAGCAAAATGATTGCTCTGTTCTGCCCAACAGAGAATAAAAGAATGCAAGCAAGATAGATGATGAAGAGCTTTTTCCTAGAGAAAACTACAGTGCAGGGTGAAAGAGAGAGGGTTTGTCACAGGGGTTATGGACTGCGTTTGCTTTAGGGTCACTGAGTAGGAAACTGTCAGTGTGCTGTTGGGGCCACATTCTTCCCTTCTCCACTGAAGGATTGGAATCCAGGTGCTGTCCATATGCTTGAAATCAGACACTGAGTATGTATATACAGCTCCCATCTGTAAACGAGTTCTCATGTGGCTTCAGTCCCTCTGTGCAGTGCAGAACCTGCCTGCCCTCTCACATGTGGGTATCTCTACTGATTGTGGACACAGTTCTGGCACAGGCATCATCCACCTTGTCTAATTCAACTCCTGCCTAATATATGGAAGCTGATACTTTGCTTGGTCCTGGCACAGCCCCAGAGAGCAGTATTGCCCCTTTTGCAAGGGCTGGGGAGCTGGACCTGCATCGGGATCCAATGTGTGACTTGAAATCTGACATAGGACTAAGTCTGCTGCTTCTGAAGACCAACTGCTGTGAATCAAGTGTGGAGATATGACCTGTGCCAAGGATGTATCAGTGCACAGGAGGCTGACTTGGGTATGATGACATGGAAAACATCATGTCTTCTAAAACAGAGGCAGGGACCCTGGTTGCTTGAAACTCTGCAGATTGAGAATATGGCAAGGTAAATCATTGAACTACATACACTATTATTCCTGACGGATAAAAGAAGTCATTTTAGGTTACCCAGTACCCAGTTACCCAGTTGAATTCACCATTACTTCAACGTATGTGTATTTGTAGACTTCAGTGTGGCTCCAGTGAATGAGAAATGGTGAAAATACCGAGAACCAAAATAAAGAAGAAATTCAAATTACACTTCAGTTTCTCTTCAGTATAATGAGATATAAATATGCCCTGCAGGACAACTTTCACTGTTAATTCCTGTGAAAGACAGTCTTTGTGTGTGTGAAAAGAGATAAGATGGCTAGGAAGTTGTTGTGGATAGATTTCAGTGATCACATCTAACGTATGTCTAAGATTAGTCCTGCATACCATGGAGAAATGAAAAATGCATGTACTGCATTGTGCTTCCTAGAATGAACTTTGGCCAATAGGATGGTTGTAAAGAAGATATGCCTGAGGGGTGTTGGTTTTCCATTGCTCTACCCCAAAGAATTTGTCCACGTTTTCAAGTTTCCTATGGCAAGACCAGAGGTATCAGAGTGAACCCTCTGGTTTTCATTTAGTATTTCAGGAGTCAAAGCTAATCTTAGAAGAGAGGGGAGGAAAAAGTGAGAAAGAAGACACACCTTGTAAAATACACACTTTTATGTGTTCAAAGTATTTCTAAGATATTTCTTGCAGCTCTGCCATGTCCTAGCAATAGCTCAGAGTGCCTTATGAAATCAGTGTATGCAATAGCTTGATATGCACACTATTGTTTTGAAATACAGAAGTTGAATATTATGGTACTGTAACCACTTCAGTGCATAAACCAGCATAAATAATCAGGGCCAAGAGTTAAAGAGCAGACCAGAGATCAGAAAGACATTTGTGCATTCATGCGTAACCTGTCACTCATCTTACAAGTCACTTGCTTACACCAAAACATGATCATGAGCTTGCAAGTGCTGTGAATCTTTGCCAGCTACATACTAGAGACTTGCAGCCTTCATGAAAGAGAAGAATCAGTCATTCAGGTTAGCTGGGGGAGGTCTTCTGCAGCAAGCTTTTCAGACTGCAAACATGGGATCGAGTACAACAAAACCACCTCTGGGTCAGTTGCTGGATAATGTTGCGAAGAGTAGGTGTAGGATCTACCAGCAGTTTGGTATTACTGGTTTCCAGCTGAATTTTCTGTCAGTCTGACCACCGTGCCTATCATACTGCTGTCCTTTGGAGGACAGCCAGACCTTCTCTGGCCTTCCCCAAATCTTTTGAGTGTAAATGACACCAAGGTCCGTCACCAAAAGGGACACTCTGTGTCACACTGTGTGCAACAACAACAAATTGTTGGCGTCACTGGTCACAGGCAAGCCTTGAGCACTGTAGCTACCAAGTTTTCTGCAGGAGCATCTGTCTAAAGACATGGAGCAGAAAAGGCAACAACGTGGCTAAAATGTCTTCTTGCTATCAAGTGAGATTTTCAAAGCTGTGGAGGGTTTTTGGCACCCACATCTCTCTCAGCATCTGTGAAAATATAGCCCCCAAAACCTAGTAGCTGAGATTTGCATTGGAGGCTGTTCAGGAAACTGTGACCCAAGACCAGTTGTAACCAAAGCCATATCATCCTTGTTACTTGGTGCCGAAATTGGTGTTTGCGTGTTGGATGGAGCTGGTAGAGATTCAGGCTGATGACTCCATGCCCTTTGGAGGTGCCTAGCATAGTCATGGCGGGATGTGATCTGACACCCACCACTTGTGCCATGCTGCTCCTGGGGCGGTTGTGCTGGCTGGAAATCAGGCAGTCTCTGAAATAGGAGAGAGAGTGGTAGCAGCAAATTTCCAGCTGGTGAAGTTTGGCTTGACCAGAGATATGAGGTCTTAGGGGCATAAAGCAGTTTATCTGGATGGGTGGTACCACAGCTTGGCCTCACTCTGGGCTTATGCCAGCTCAGCTGCGACATGTGTTGAGTCACTCAGCTGTGCAAGACTCCTGCAGCAGAGTCTGCCTTCTTGAGCACAAGCCAGTCCCAAAAAAGCTAGCTGGGAGCTGGAGCAGCTGGGACGCCCCAAGCGTTAGCAAGAGCCACTGCAGCTGGTTGGAGCAAGGTCAAGGAGAGGCTGATACTCCCACAGAGGCAGCCCCCTCGCCTCGCCCTGTGGCTGGTGATGAACTGTGACAATCTGGATATGCTCATGAGTTAATTAATTGACCAGTCCAAATGAGAAAAATGAGGCTGAATTATGTATAGCGCATTAACGCTGTTAGCATATGGAAGAAACGCTAACAAATTGCAATAGGCAAAACGTTAAAATGACTGAGAGTTTATTGAAGGGTGGAGACGAGGGATCTGTTTTCAATAATCTGAGTTATATCCAGGGGAATAATGAAAGGCTTGTTGGTTTTTTTTTTCCTTAATTTCCAGATTTATAGTGTTCATTTATCGAGTGCTGCATCATTTGTAAAGAAAGCATAAATGCCCGGGGGGGTCAGAAACTGAGTGGAGTGGATGAGTGAAATGCAGCCAGGCAGCAGCCCATCAGGTATCCTGCCTGTGCTGGGCTGGCAGTGGCAGCGGGATGGAAAAGTAGCAAAATATGTGCTATCAAACAAAGAGGCTCTGATAATCACAGAATCACAGAATCGTAGGGGTTGGAAGGGACCTCCAGGGATCATGGAGTCCAACCCCCCTGCCAAAGCAGGTTCCCTACAGCAGGTCGCACAGGTAGGCATCCAGGCAGGTCTTGAACATCTCCAGAGAAGGAGACTCCACCACCTCCCTGGGCAGCCTGTTCCAGTGCTCCGTCACCTCACTGTAAAGAAGTTCTTGCGCACATTTGTGCGGAACTTCCTATGCTGCAGTTTCCAGCCATTTCCCCTTGTCCTGTCTCCACTCTCCACTGAAAAGAGCCCTGATCAAGAGGAAGATCCCATGAGGAAGGACAAGAAATTTTAATGCTATTTCTCCGATCAGAGGACAGGGGATAAGTTCTGTTGTGGGCGATAGCACCAGACGGTGAAGTCTCTGCTTACCACAGCCTCTCCTTTGCTCTGCATTCACTCAACATAACTTCTTCCGTTCTTGTTTGAAACAGTTGATTGGGATGCTGCTGGCGTGCTGCCTGTCCCGGTTTATTACTGCTAACCAGTACGAGATGGTGTAACAAGGTGAGCCTTTCCTTCTTCTATTAAAGGTAGTGGACAAGTGACATAACAATCAAGATTTTAGTCTTCCCATGTGATTTCTTGCTTTGTGCTTTTCATTCCAGCGTTCTGTCTGGTTGAAAGGGGGGCAGAGAAGGAGGGGGGAGGGAGGACGTACGATTGACTGTCTTGCCGCTTCAGCTTCCTTCTTGAACAGAGAGTGCACACTAGCTGCTGCCGGCACCCAAACCGACCCACCTCTTGTCTTTTGTCCCTTCATCCAGTCTTTCAGAAGCGTGAAGCCCAGCGCCTGTCCCGAGATCAGGAACTGCAGCGTTCAAGGAAGACTGACACGAATGTTATAGCACACACTGTCTCTCGCACGCACGCACACCCCCACAAGCAAGCACGTGCGCGCGCACACTCGCCCCCCACCCTCCCGACCTGTCCCATGCGTAGTGTACCATCCTGTGAAGCACCGCCGTGCGCCCAGAGCCGACCCCCGGGCCAGGACGGCGCGCTCTTGGTCACGCTGTAGTTGCATTGTAAGTTAACACAGGTAATTCATTAACAGCATCGATCAGGCTGTGCATGTAGTGACTGGAGGGCACGATTAGCCTTTCGCCATGGTTAATAAGTGTTGCACACATTCATATAAACTGGTATATGAACTATGTATTCTTTTGGGTTTATCTTGATTTCTCGGTTTGTTTATGCTTTACTAAGGTTTTCACCCTTTCCCCGCTCCCGTTCCCCACAGACAAAGGAATCGGTAACATAACATAAAGATACTTGAAAACGATGTTAAAATGTTGTGCTTGAAGGGAACCGTTCCTCCTGGTGTTCTTCGACATCTTTGATTCTTACTCAGTGTTGTATGCCCAGTGCGTATCCCAGTAGGCTTCGTCTAGTGCATTTTGCCTCTGAACCTGATCCTGTGTAATACTGTTATGAAGCTGTGTTGTCGCTTACTGTGAAGGCAGTAATTTTGCTCCCTTTATTTTTATTAGATAGCTATGAACTAATTGAACCGTGCTGTACCGCGGCCTTCGGACTTTTTTCCTCTTCTTTCTTTTTCTTTCTTCTTTTTGCATTGAGGTTGCAGCCACCAAGTACATCGTTGAATCAAATCACAATAGAAACAACAAAAAACTCACAGACACCACCACCAACAAGGCATATGGAATATTTCTGGGGGAAAGCAAAAATTTAAAACCTTTTTGAAAAAACAATAGGACTTTTTTAATAATGCCTCTGTCTAGCATGCCAACGAGAATGCATTGATATTGTGAGTATTTGTGATATATGTATTAATAAATGGAACCATTACAGATTTCTCGCTGCTTCCTTTTTGTTCTTTAGTCATAACAAAACTCTTTTGAGGGGGGAAGTGAAAATGAAACACGAGTGCACAGCTTGGAGTGACATGCCTTTATGCATATTTTAACAACCAACTTGTTTTTGACAGAAAAATGTTATTACCCTGGGAAAAAAAAAAAAAAAAAAAAAAAAGGAAAAAAAAAAAAAGAGAAGAGCTGGAATTGTTTCAAAGCTCCGAGAAAAGCCTTCCACAGCTGGTTTCACCATGTGACAAATACATTCCCTCTGCTTTGCAAATTCTCTTCTTGTGACTGATACAATCTGCAGCGTTTAATTATCCCGTCCTTTGCACCACGTTTCTCTTTGATTTTGGTGAGCGTGTGGGTGGGGGAAAAGGGACGGCAGGGAGGGGGGGATCACAGCCATCTCTGCTGCATTCGTGGAAGAGCCTTTATCTCTTTCTCATCGGATGCGCAAAGGCTGAGTACATCTGTGTGAGAGGAGCACTGCGTGTTGGGGAGCCTGCAGTGTGCTCTGTTGCAGGAGCCTCTGGTGGCTGGGGATGCCCTGACTTCCAGTCCTTTGTGCCTGAGCTGTTCCCTCACCACCATGCAGGTATAGGAGGCAGAGAATGTCATGGTACGTATCCTGCAGAAATGCGCTTCCCTGCCTCAAACAGACGCACTGACGTGCCTGATGTGAAAGCTGTGGGCTCACCCAGAGCTGAAGAGGAGCTGAACTTTCAAGATCTGAACAGCTTGGGCTGAGAGCTGTTGCACACCAAATCCTGCTTATCTCATAGAAGCATTTCTATTCCTTTTCTCCTACAAACCAAATAACTCCCTTCAATCAAATGAAGCGCTCACAAATGCAATTTTTCCATCTCCCTTCTCTCTCCCCATCTTTCCCAGCAATCAAGCTGTCCTTGAGATTCAAATCTAACTCAAAACATTGACTGCATGGGGTAGAGTGGAGACCGAGCTTTTGTTCTGCTCTCTCGTTAGCCCTTGCTTGTTGTTGCTTGATTTATTTGCCTTGCATTTGTTTTCTCGCACAAACACTAAGCACTGTCAATTGGCACTGAAGTCACTTATGAGCCCTGTGGATTCAGGCTTAGCGCTTGCACCTGCAGTCCATGCCCTCAGATGAAAAAACACTAGTGGCTTGAGCAATTGCTTGGGCCATAGGATGCTAGAGCAATGCCTCTTACTGCATTTGTCCACACTGGGAAGATCTCACCCATGAGCTACCCATGTTTTTCTCCCCTGTTAACCTCCAGGTAGGTGTCCCCCAGGAATAACAACCAGGAGCAGGTCCCAGCATCACTACCAATCCTGGTGTCAGTGAGGATCACACATTCTTCTGAAAATACACACACACACAGAGCCAGGTGCTAGAGCCAAATTACTTCTCCCCTGAGAGCACAACACGGCACTGGCAGGGATGAAGCAGTAGCAGAGAAAGTTACCAGTGTGAGCTGAAAAGGTTTGTATCAATGAGCATCACTGTGAAGGAACCCCGTGTCACAGGACCTGGGCCTGATCAGGCTGCCCAGGGCCCCATCCAACCTGGCCTTGAGCACCAGGGATGGGGCACCACGACTTCTCTGGACAGCTGTGCCAGCGCCTCACCGCCGCTGGGGAAAAAAATTCTGCCCAAAGTCTGACCTAAGTCTCCCCTCTTTTAGTTTAAAGACATTTAGCCTTGTCCTATCACCATCTGCCTGGATAAAAAGTCAGTGATGACAAGCAAATTGATTTACTAACAACACTCCTGATCTGGGTTTATCATAGAATCATGGAATCAATAAGATTGGAAAAAGACTATGACCATCTAGTTCAACAGCAGCCCATCACACCATGCCCACTGCCCGTGTCCTCAGTGCCACATCCACATGGTTCTCAAACACCTCCAGGGACGGTGACTCCACCACCTCCCTGGGCAGCCTGTGCCACTGCCTCCCTGCTCTTTCTGAGGAGAAATTGTTCCCAATAGGCTGTCTGGCAGGGTAGCAAGCCATGCTTCGTGTGCTCTGTCTGCATGAGAGAAACAGAAAACACAGTACAAGAAATGATTGTTGCCCTGTAGGAGAAATTCTGGAGCGGGAGAAAAAAGCAAAAATGTATCCCTCTATTTTTTCAGTCAAAATGGTTTTAAAAGTGGGAAGCATTTCAACGTGCTGTAGGGACTGCAAGACTGCAAAAAGCCTGTGGTGCACATGCAGTGACGTTCATGGCCAGCTTAAATCCATGGCATGGCCTGAGGCTTTGTGAGAGCGGTTTGTTCCCATGGGCTTTTTGTGCTTATGTGGGATTTACTTTCATCATTGTGTTTGTAGTTTATTACATATCAAAAGAACCGGTTAATCCTTTTGTTGATTATTCGGTGTCTTCAGGCTGATAGTTATTTGTAATTAAAAGCCAGTAAAAGTTGCCTGGAATTTTCTTCCTCCCAGGATTCACCGTGATGCACGTGTTGCGTGTGTTAGTTCTTCCTCCAGCTACAGAAGCAGGCCCACTGAGCCCATGGGTTACTGTGCATGCCGCTGCTTTTACCTTCCTACAAGTCTCTGGTCCTCAGTGCAGAGGATGGCTTCCCCTCTGCACAGAGAAGAAGCTCAGCCTGCAGTTTGTTTGGATGGCGTAGTTTATCTGCTACAGTATGGAAAAGAAATTAAAAAAAAAATGGCTTTATGAGACCAATTCAATAAAAATGTTATTGGCAATTAGCAAGCTCTTTTTTTTTTAAAAAAAAAAAAAAAAAAAGTAATTAGCTCTCCTGCCCTGAGAATTAATGAATGCTTATCATTAGACCCCAAGGAGCAGTCAACCCACTAATAATCCATTTCAGGTTAATGTTGTTCTAAGCCAGCGTTGTTTGAAAATGCAGGCTGTGGGATGATCACAAACACGAGGCACTCGTACTGCTGGTGAGCACTGGAGCAGGAGGCTTCAAAATGAAAGGCCATTAAGGGTAGGTGTGGCACTGAGGGACGTGGGTTCATGTACAGCATTGGTTGTAGGTGGGCGGTTGGACTAGATGATCTGAGAGGTCTTCTCCAATCTCAACAATCTTAATCTGAATTTTAACAGCTGGTTCTGCTGAACGTCTGTTTCCGTGTGGCCACATCTCTTCTGCTTCACCATTACGTGCAGCAAGATGAAGCTCCCAGGTGAGCAGAATGCAATGAGTGCTCGGCATGCAGTGCTGTACTGCCTGGGGGCGATCGCACAGTATCACAGCACTGCCTTTCTGGATGCGTCAGGGAAATACAGTCATGCATGGAGCACAGGCTGCGTGTAAGGGCTGGAAAAAATGGGCAGAAGATAGAAAGGAGAGTATTTGGAAATGCAGACTCCATTGAGGTCATCTCAGTGAGCACAGAGCCACGTTACGATTGGTTTAGGCAACCTCAGTCTTAGCATTTTGTAGATTGTGGATGCCTAGCTGCAGCTGTAAGCAGTTCTCAGCAAGCATTTGTTTGGATGTAGTTACTTAGTTTTTAAAAAAATTATATAGGGGAAACTTTTTAATTTTTCTTCATCACAGTCACGTTCTGAGGGAGGCCGAAATCCCTACAACAACCCCTCAGTTCTTGCTGGACGGGGTCACTACATGATGGCAGAGCAGCACTTGGCTGTGGAGAAGTGGGGATGAAGGGGGAGGCCGATCCATGTGCTGCACTTTGATTTCAGCATCAAGGGAAAGAAAGCATTCTTCCATTTAACACCAGTAAGTGATTTACCTCTTCTTGAGCTGTTTTTGCTGGAAGGGTTAGGAGAGCTCTAGGGGGAAGTTTTACAAGGGAGAAAAAAAAGACTTTTTTTCTAACTTAAAAGGTTTTTAAAAAGTCAGCCAGCTGGGATTAGTTTTGGAACTTGAGTAACTAATCACTTACCCGCCACATTTACAGTATCTGGGCATAAGGATTACGTGTTGGGGTTCGGTAATAGCATATTTAAATTAACGCATTTGCAGTTATTGCTTTGGGAGAGTTGCCCTGTCTTGCTTGACTTTTGTTTTTTTTTCTATGAACTAAATGGATGAAGATTTGGTAGGATCTTAATACATAGAATTGAGGAAGGCTGAGGTGGGTCTCCCATGGATTCATACAGTACTCTGGAACCCATCATTTTCCGTTATTCATTTTCTTGCAATATCAGGGTGGGTAATCTTGGCAGGAATGGCTGAAGCTGGAAACCA